CTGTGGCTGATGACAGTCATGCAAATGATACCTGTCGCTTCCACCTAGCGTGTGGTTAATGCCAGGCTGATAATTGCAAGTTGTACCTGTCTGCTGCCATTATAAATCCCTGTAGTTTGGAGGAAAAAAAAAAAAGTTATTTCCAGTAGTGCTGTTTGCTGTGGTGACTTAAACATGCAGCACTGTGGTGGGTGTCCCTTAATGCTCACATGAATTGCGTGCGGTGCTTGAGCTGCATGCGTTCTGGGGAGGCCGCCCCATGGATGTGCAGGGGATGGGGCAGCCGGAGCAGTTCTTTTGCTGAGTGCTCTGATGTGCTCCTGCTGCAGTGTGGCTACTGCTTGCTCATCCTTCCTTTCCCTGTTTTCTCCCATGGAAGCAGGAGGCTTCGATCTGCAGCATCGCCGCTAGCGCTGACCGATGGCAGCCAGCGCTGCCGTGGTGGCTAATGGCACAAGAGCCGTGTCTGCCGTCCGTGTATATTGATATCCATGTGCACTGATGTCCATGTGCATTGATATCCATGTGTATTAATATCCACATGTATTGATACAGGGCAAACGAAGAAGAAAAAGTGCAGCAGGCAGCTCCGCAGCTGCTTCTGGAGCCAGGGCTGCCTTCCTAGTGGCTTCCTTTTAAGCTGTGATGAACTGGAGCTTTCAGGATCAACACTTTGACTCCCAATGCAAGGGAATTGAAAGTCTCTGTTGACTCTGTTCATGTCCTTGAAATGCCACAGGCTTTTTCCCGGGTGAGTGGAAGTGAGTCTGGGCTTGTTGCTATTATATTGCCCAGCTTTGCTGGTTTGCAGGAGCTGCCCTGCAGGCAAGCCAGATAGTTTAGGCATTGCTTTGATTTGCACTTAGGCACATCTTATGACTTAATTGGGTTTGTTTGCCTTTTCTTCTGCCTCGAAGGGTGGAGAGAGATTATCTTCCATCCCCTTGGGATAACGTCAGAAAAAGTCTTGGAACTTGATTCAGGGTTGCGGTAGGAAAGACGTTCTTCTAAATACAAACAACTGTTCTTTAGTAGGGATTAAAACTGTCGCCTATTCAAAAGCGCAAGATGAAAATTATCAACCTGTTTCATATTACTAGTGAACCTTAAAATTAATTCCTTCTTAGCAGTTTATATGTAAAAAGCTGTCTTTTGACAGATCTTTTCCTAGCAAATGAATAGTCAGCGTTTGGTTAAGAAGTACGCGTACGCCTTGCCATGCATTCAGTGACAGACTGACTGTGATTCTGATGAACTCTGGGTTCCAGTCAGAATCTGATCTGCATAATTCTATTTTATTTTTATTCTTTCACTTCAGCAGCTGTAACACCAACACAGATAATCTCTGCAGGGCAAGCAGAGTGAACTAATGTTGTGCGCGGGCAGACCTATGAAAACATCTAATTTAGCAGCAGGCAGTTGTGTAATCATCAGTCGAGAATTGCAAATTATGTACGTCATACATTTGTGGCATGCTGCTGAAGAAAAGCCCAGTGCATATGACAAATCATATATATAGTGAAATTTATAATACTTTTCACATTTAATTGACTGGGGCAACCTTATGATTTATATCTTTGCTTTATTCATAGCACACTCATAACATAGTCATAATGCAGAACGAAACTAATTCAATTTCTCCTTGACTTTGTAAATCATTTATGTATTTGGCTGTCAAGTATTTGAATATAAAGTGGGCATACAAACCGCAGAAAATAAATAGCTGATTCTCTAGTTAAGAAATTGAGTTTCAGTGATATTAGGATCTGTTTTGCTTTACTTGGATGTTCAGTATTGCTTAGATTGCATGTGCTATGTTTGCCCCTTACCTCATTTCACAGCAAAGTATGTTTTATGGGCACCAATGTTAATCTCTTAACGGCTTCCTGTAGCATTAGGACTGTGTAAAACGTACTCAGCCTCCTTTGATGATGGAGGAGCCCTGATGAGCAGCAGGCCCTGCTACTCTTAGTCACAAGAAGTCTTTTTCAAACTGCTGGGATGGCACATAAGGACTGCAGACAGGGACTGTCTCATTAGTACCATTCCTTATATAATGAGAAGGAAATGTTCTGTGTGCCATGACAGGCTGTCACTAAAGCTCTTTGTGACTGGTCTCCCAAAGATCAGTTTTTACCATGGAGCTATCATGCAAAGTCATTGAAAATACTTCCTGGCAATATTGCTTTTTTTGTTTCTTTTTATTTAAATAGCAGGTTACCTCGCTTGGCCACATCACTAATTAATCCTGACAAGGATAGCAGCATAGAGCTCTGGAAAAGAACACCTGACCCGCTCAGCCGCAAATGAGGCTGCCAAGGGCATTGCCCCCAAGAAGCCCCATCCTCTGTGACCACATCCTTCCATGGCAGAGCCCTGGCCACCTCTACCATCACTGGAGAACATCTGCAAAATCAAGATAGTGCAGAAAGTGTGAGCCAGTTTGCTGGCTCATTATCATCCTGCAAAAACAACTCTCCTCCAAAGCAGCATCCTTGATTTCTAAATTTAGCACATGAGTTATTTTGGGTAATGTGCGATTAACCTCAATTACTTGTAGCTCAAATGGAATTCAAAATAATGCCCTCACTTTCTGTGTTGAAAAGAAATAGAAATCTGTGGTTGTACATTTTCTACCCTTCATTAGGCAGCTCTGAAAGATACTTGCAGCAGGAGTTTGTTTAGATCAGTAGAAGTCCATGGAAAAATTGATCCTGGAAAGTACTGGTGGCTCATGGCTCTTCATTGTTTTGGGGATCAGGAATAGAAAGGTGAAGAAACCAGGTATGAAATGTTTATGGTGCAGTAGGAGCGAGGGAAATCAAGGAGGCCAGGCCTGGAATTTGGATTAGGGTCAGGACACTTTGTAGTTTTCCTGTTTTAATTAAACGTGGTGATGGAGGCTTTCAAAAATCAAGCGAGAATATGTTTTCCCTCAGTCTCAGTCATGATGGCTGTCACTCTCCAGACCATGCTCTGTGGCGGCACACAGGCAAATCCACTCCAGAATCCATGCAGCTACTCACGAGTGCAAGAACGGAGGCTGTTTAGGTTATTCAAGCCGACAGATGAGAAAATACCATGGAGCAGCTCAGGTGTGAGGAGGGAGCTGTGGATTGCAGCCCGCTCGGGAAGCTCCAGCAGAGGAGCTCATCGCTCGGCAGGCTTTGAATCAAAAGTTTGATCGTCTCTCCAGCTGTAACTTTCCAGACTGCACTGCACCAGCCGAGCATTTGTTCTCTGAAACAGCTCGTCTCCAGAGGAGGATAAAACACGCAGAGGTAGTTACAGCAACCCCGAACTGGCTTATAAAGCTCATTTATGGGTAGCTGTCACCGCGCGAACTAACATACAGCGGCTCGTGGCAATTCTGTTTCCTGGTAGCCAGGAGGAGTCAATCGTTAGAAAAATAAGGCAGCTGCCCTCAGACTGGCTGGCTGGTTCAGGAAGGGCTCAAGAGGTTGCTTTCTGGAGGCAATGTTTTTAGAAAAGGCAAAGATGAACCTGGTGCTCTCAGAAAAGTAATGCCCTGACCTTTGATTTGTGAGTCAGCCATCCCCTCCAGAAGTGCTAGGAAATGGGATTGGGATGGGGGAGCCAGTCCCCTCTTGCATGAAGTAGAGTTCGCAAGAAGAGATGAACCAAAACTCATCCACCAGGCTTGGTTTGGTTCCTCGGGAGAGGGAGCAGGGCTGACTGCAGATTTCTAGCCTTCTGTTGTTGCTGAAATTACTCCAATGGAGACTAAAGAGATAGCAGAATCTGGAAAGTTGCTATAAAATTCCCTCCTTGTTACAACAGCTTTGGGGGTCAAGTTTGGATCTTGTGCTTTTTGGTTGTTTTGGGTTTTATGTCCTTGTATTCCCACAAAAAAAGCACCAGCTACCTCTGAGTCTTATGGAAATGAAGCTGCTTATCAGCAGTCGCTAGGCCTTACGTGTGTGCTCTGCTTGCTTAACAACAGCTTTTTACCCTCAGGAGACATTTCAGAGCCAGGGAGGTGCAAAACACTGAATCACAGGGTTCGGGACAGTGTGTGGCAGAAAAGGGCTCTGCTGAACGCTGTAGGAAAGCGGATTGCATGAGCTGCGTGGTAGCAAGGGGGCTTGGCAGGATGGAGCCATAGGGAATTGACGTGCATTTCTCTTGAACCCTTCTTGGTTTCTTCTGTCTTATTCCAGCTGCAGTGTAGGGGCAGGAGGGCTGTTGGCTTGGGCATCTGGAGCTGCTGAGGGGACCTGCCGTGGTGCCGGGGGGTTGCGTGTCATGGCACTGCTGCCACATCACTGCAGAACTATTGTTCTGTGCAAATTCTCACCCAGACTGCTTCATACAGCTGCTCAATATAGTCAGCTGCAAACCCACCTGGTATAAATTACCCAAGCTGTGCTGAGCAGGAGCAACAGCATCCTGGAAGAGTGGGCACTGGGCTCAAAATGTGTCAGGAGTGCTTATGGATGAAACACGAGGATATAGCTATGGGCCTGCAAACCATAAATAACACTTCTTTTCCTTCTCCTTGTTGATTTGAGTGTTTTGGATATGCTCTCTGTACAGTGAGTGATCTCTTACTCATCAGCAAAATTAACGGGAGCGAAACTCCCAGAGCAGCCTGTCCCTTCTCCTGCAGACACCCAGCACAGGCAAACGCCGCATTTCTTCCCAGCACTTTCCAGGCCTGGACTTGCACCACCCAGGCCCAAGCTGAAGAACTGCAGGAGGAGGTGATGCCAAAGGGACAGGGCGCTCCGAAGTTTCACCAAATGGGGCTGCCAGATCTGTTCAAAGCATATGAAATAAAAGAAACAGTAAAAGCTTTCTTCTAGAGGGCACTCTGTCTCTCCACAGGTTCCAATAGCCATGCAAGGACTCTGTGCTGCCTTGTGCCCAAGCAGAGCCCCTTGGCACGAGCTGTCTACAGTTATTAATGGATCAATTGCTTCTAAAGGTGCTGCACTGTTTTTCTTTTTCACCTTGATTTGCTTTTTGTTTTTACACAGCTGGACAACCCAGATGAGCAAGCAGCACAGATCAGACGTGAATTGGATGGACGTCTTCAAATGGCTGAGCAAATTGCCAAGGTAAAAAAAAAATATGGAAAAACCCAATTCTGTATTAACAAGCACATAAGTAGTTTGATGCAGTCCCCAGGTTCTTTTCTCACTGGGTGGAAAACCCTGTGAATAAATCATCTGTTAAAAATCAAGAGATTTCTGTCCCTGATGAGCTGGGACAGAAGATGCTTCAAAAATTCCTTATGGCTCTCAGCTATAGGGAAAGTAGCTTCCTGAACTGCTCCAGCTAGATCTGTAAGTGTATTTCTAAGCCTTCTTTGTCAAACTTGCAGCACATGTTGGACAGTAAGGTGGATGATAACATGTAAAAGAAGCCAAGAATTGCCCTAAATGGATTTGAGGAGTTCTGTGGGCTGCTGGGTGCCACAGTTCCCTGCTTCAAAGCAAACACTCAGTAAGGGCACAAGATTTGTTGTCCCAACTGATTTCACATGTGACTAATAGGAATAGTCAGGCCGATGTGGCAACCCTTTGGACATCATTCCCACCTAGAGCAGCAGCCTGGGAGCTCCAGACAGTTTTTATAAGCAAGCAGTCAGCTGAACTCCCCAGGGACCCTTGTGGAAGGCATTCTCCCTAGGAGCAAATCATAGCTTCACAGTACAAATTTACATTGCCTGCAGGACACAATAGATGGAGAGAAATCCTGGATCCTGTTGACATCAGCATGGCCAAGAAGTTATCCATGCTCCTAATCAGATCCTTCTGAGTCTCAGGGAATGGGGTTGAAGTCACTGGGAGTGATCTAGCTGCCTGTTCTCGATAATCAGGAAATTATAAGTGGAAGGAAAAGAACAACAGAAGTCTGATCTGAGACTTAGCTTAGGCTGAGACCTGCTTACCCTCAGCAATCCTGTCTGTGCTCCCGAGGAGCTGTGTCCAAATGATGAAGTTTTTATGAGAAATGCAATTTTGGAGCTGTTTGTGACTGCATTGAAATGAGTGGGTGTGCAAGAGCACAGGGCAGTTACAGTTAGGTATTAGTAAGGATCCCTGTAACACCTTACTGACACTTCCATTAGGCAGCTACTGTCGCTGTGTCTTTGGGAAGGCAGGTTGTGTTATTCTTTGCCTCACTAATAAAAATAGGATGAAGACTGATAACCATATGGCCAGATGATGCACAGCAAAGAAGCAAGTCAACTGCTGCTTCTTTCCTTTTTTTTTTTCTTTTTTTTTTTCTTTTTCCTCTCCAGTGTTTTGACCTTTTTCATTTTATTTGCCAGGAAACCTACAAACCTACAATGTTTTTTATTTTCATCAAAACTTAAACCTCTGTATAATGATGTGCTGCTATTCTTTGGTTCTGAAATTGGTAGCCAGGCCTTGGCTGGCTGGTTACTTCATTTCTTTTTCTCTTTCTGGCATGTAGGACAGCAATATCCATGGTTCAAGAGCAGCCAAAGAAGGCTGCAACTTCATGAATTATTTTTGCAAACAAGAATTTGCCATTTCCATTCTCCCAAAGGATGTTAAAAACAACCCATGCCACCACTGTCCCTGCGAGAGACAGTCCTAAACATAACCTGACATTTCCTGGTGCAGAATGCAACCCTAAAAATACAACTGTGCAGAGCTCAGAGGGAGGTTTTAAATTAAAGCAACTTATCTGTTATCCAGTTGGCAGGTATTGATATTTAATCTCATTCACATTACTGCTGCAGGCCTTAGCTTTAGAATGTCAGATCCCAACAGCAGCTGCCTGCAAGAAGTTTTATTCTTACGACCCATGAATATCGCTTTTTGGAGGCATCCAGATGACCTTTTGAATCTCTCTGCATCATCCTTTTTGGGCAAGGCTGCTTTCTCTGTGGCACAGGGAAGGCTCAGTCGGTTCTGTGAAGGCTTTGCCTGCTGCAGCTTTATCTCCTCTTTGCTAGCTTCTTAGTGCAGATTTGCTGCACAGTATGACTTACTGTGCACATAAAACCAACAGTGAGGTTGCCATCTTTGAGTTTCTCTTGTAAAAGCAACTTAACTCTTCATTAATAAATTAAGAAATTCATGTTAGAGCATTGGAATTTGAGAGAAAACAAAGGTTTTATAGTCAAGCATGGTCTCAAATCATGGTGCTGCAGGATGCGCAGCTCTGCAAGGCTTCGCCTGGCCTGTTGTGCAACGTGGGACACGTCAGCCCTACCTTTGGGTGCCAGGGCACAGCTCTCTGTCCTGTTTTGCCTTTTCATGGGCCCAGGGCAGTGCAGCTCTATCACAGCAGAGAAGATACCTTGCATGTCAGTAGAAAACTCTCTGGCTCCAAGTGCTGCTTAGCTGTTGTGCATCTTGAACAGTCTCTTTAGCCCACTGTGAGCTGGTGAAAGTCTGAGCAGATTCAGGGAAAGGACATGTCCAGAAAACAGGGTCGGTGGAACTGGACCATGGACAGAAGGGACAAGTCTTCCTGGAAGGCTTTGGAACTGGATTCTCTTGTGGGAGAAAAGGTAACCTAGACCCAGGAGGTCTAAGTTTGCTTCCCAGTTTCTGTCTTCAGCTCCCTTTGTTCCTGCAAGCCAGTCCATATTGTGTCATGACTCAACCTGCTAACGGCTGAAGGTGCCAGTTCTAATCATGATCTCATTTGTGTATGGGGGGGTCTATCAGAAGAAAAAAATGTTCCAGTCATTTCAGAGTCAGTGGACTGGAGATCATAGGAAAAAATTAATGTTTGCTGAGGAAAGTCAGGTACCTGACAGCTGACCAGAGGAGCAACCTGAGGGTGTTGTTGGAGGAATCCCTTCTTGGGCCTCGGGGGACAGAAATCAGGGAAACGATCCCATCAGTGGTTCAGCTGAGATCTGAGCTGGAGTGATTATAGTGGTGAGTTCATGTATAAGAAAGAAACCACTTACAGATAGAAAATGAATGAAAAGCAAGTGCATGCAAGAAATAGTAAAGTTGGATAAGTACCAAATAGTAATTCTATGGGAAGCTAGCAATAATGTTTCAGCATGACAGAGGCAAAGCTATAATTTGTCATCTGGTTTGTGGGAGTTCCCTGTGTTAAAACGTCTCTGCAGATGCTCCTGAGGGAATCTCCCACTGTAACAAGTGGTTGCTGATTGTCACCACAGTTTATTCTGTTGTTTATTTTTACATCCAAGGAGCGCAAGTTTCCGAAGTTTGTGTCCAAAGAAATGGAAAACATGTACATTGAGGAGCTGAAGTCATCTGTCAATCTCCTGATGGCAAACTTAGAGAGCATGCCTGTGTCTAAAGGAGGCTCTGAGTTCAAGCTCCAGAAGCTGAAGCGTAGCCACAACACCTCGATCATCGACATGGGAGAAGAAAATGAGAACCAGCTTTCCAAGTCAGACGTGGTGTTGTCATTCTCCCTGGAGGTAAGCTGCACGCTGTCTTTCTTCCAGCAGACAGTGCACAGAGTTGGTGAGAATAAAAATTCTCAGCAGCCAACTTCTGCTCAGTTCAGGCTTAAGAGTTAGGTGGGGAGAAGTCAGTGGAAACCATTTTTCTGAACTCCGTAAGGAACTGCTCCTCTCTCCAGTACCAGAAGCTTTGCCTATGATCAAATAGTGTGTCATTTTTGATTTTTCATCTTGTTGGAACAAACTATGTAAGTTATAGCAGCTGAAATTCCAAATGAAAATTCCAGTGGGCATGTCAAATGGCTCAGAAACATGCAAAATTAATTGGCTTGTTCATAAGGCTTACTACCAAGTGGAGCTAGTACCCCTGAACAAAAGCTGCCTCTGTGAAATGTCCCTGAAACCAGTGCAATATTGCAGGGGTTAGTCCGGCCTCTAATTTCTAGATGTGCCTTGAGATACTCATAATTGCCTGGCTACCTTCACAGTTTGTTTGTGCAGTAGTCGGTGGAAAGAGAACCAGAATTTCTAGCATGGCAAAACTGTGTAACATTATAAAGATTCATCATTGTTAGCTCCATTTCCCCAAATGCTGAAACATGCTATAAATGTCAATGTGTTTTATTATTGACAACTAGCGGTGTCACTTTATTGCTTATCAAGGCTTGCTTCCTCTTTGGAGAACCATTAAAAATTGTTGAAGTTTTGAATGCACTCAGCAGATTGGCTGACTGTTGGCATAGAAATATTGTACTTGACCGGCTTGCTGTTTGTTTGGTATTGAACACTGACTGATTTCCTGCTCAGTGCTGTGTTGAGCAGTTCATCCGTACAGCCCAGGGAAAGCAAGGTGCCTCCAGGACCCACGGTTACATCTGAAACGGGCTGTCTCTGTCCTGGAAGCTGTGTAGCTGCGGTAGCTGTTTTCAGCAAGGTTAATTATCCTGTGCAAAAATATTTGCAGTCTAGGCAAGGTGTTTACTCCGAGGAGTCATTAGTGTTTCAGACACCAATGTAGGATTGCTATTGTGTGTCAAGAGAGTGGGTTTATGCTACATCGTCAAAGCTGCTACCTGAATGGGGTCAGAAAAGTAGGATACAGAAAAAAACCATATATTTCTATTTTTGTGTAGTTTCCTGTTCATTTCTCTTCCTAAGCAGTCTCTTGTTAAATATATTGTGCAATGAATAACGTACAACACTGATTGTCCAGTTTTAGAGTCTAGCTCTTTGGATGTTAGAGTTCATATTAATACTATTCAGTTCAGACATAAAAATTCCTATTTAAAGTATGACTGTGAACACCAAGACAGTGCCTTCAAATGGCAGCATCAAATAAGCCTGACTTCTAAATGTGCCTGTACGGAGGATCAGGGAACTATCACAAAGCAAGAGAACTCTCTGTAGGAAAAGCTTGTGCAGGTTATCTAGCAGCGAATAAAAGGACTCGTTCTCACAACCAAGACGTGAGATGTCTAAAACTCTTCGCTCCTGCTGAGCCCTATCCAGCAGAAAGCATAACTCGGTAGAGCACTGACTTCAGGAGTGGAAGATCTGCTCATTGCTCTGTGCACAAAACACTTTGTGTAAGACAGCTAGGTCTGAATGAGGCTGCTTCTCTTAAGCTCTGCTGCTTTTCTTTGTCCCCAGGTCGTCATCATGGAGGTGCAGGGTTTAAAGTCACTGGCTCCCAACCGTATTGTCTATTGCACCATGGAGGTGGAAGGTGGGGAGAAGCTGCAGACTGACCAGGCAGAAGCCTCGAAGCCAACGTAAGTCTTGCTTTTCCTTTTGCTCTCTCCGTCACACTCTTCACCCTGTCACAGTGCTGCTAGGAATCACTAGGAACAACACTGATTCCTGCATGGTAAGACCGGAGGGGACTGTGAGAACTTGAGCAAAGCAAGATTCATTCTGCAAAGGAGAAACATCTACAGAGCATCACCCCACAACTAAGAATGACACACAAACCCTCATGGAGCAAAAAGCTTTACGTACAGGCTTGCCTCTTCCTTGTAGCTGTGGAGACTTAAGTTTGTGCCTATACCTAAGTGCTTTGCTAAAAAGGGATGGAGTTAAGCTTGCTTAAATAAGTACTTGTGTAAGTGTCCATCTGAACTGGTGCTGTCAGGTGTAGGTACGTAATCTTGTCCTCACCGTCAGGGTGTTGGTGTTCCTGTGAGGAAAGGAAACAGCTGGCAGAGAAACCTTCAGACAGCAGTGGCCAGATGTGGGAGAGAGGATGGCAGGAAAGCTTCAGATCACTCAGTTGAAGCTATAGCTCAGGTCACACTGCCTGTGCTCAGTTCAAGGGCAGTGTCCTGTTCTGTCATCTTTGACCTGGGCCTCAGATGCCTGGCATCAACCCCATGCTTTGCTTTCCCTCTCCTCCTGAGGGTGGTTGTTAACCTCCTGGCAGTATGTATTCTTTGTTAATTTGAAAAAAGAAAATGATTAATAGCTGGGTTTGGTAGAGGGGCTCTCACCCCTCACTGGTGATATTAGTAACTTGAAGCACTATTCGTATGGGTTTGAGACTGTTTTCCCATGGTTCCTTGTGGAGATTTCACTTTAAATTCTCAGTAAGCATCCCACCCCTCACTGGTGAAATTAGTAACTTGAAGCACTATTCGTCTGGGTTTCAGACTGTTTCCCTGTGGTTCCTTGTGGAAATTTCACTTTAAATTCTCAGTAAGCATCTTTACAGCATCACTTTTCCAAGGTCAAGTGAAACCTCTCAAAGATGCTAAGCGTGCTGGAAGGGCTGCTGTTGAGACAGCTCTCCGTGTCCTGGCCCCCCTTTTTCCCAGAAAAACCATCACTTGAGGGTGTTTCACCAAAAGCTCCCCAGCCTCATGAAAAGGAATCTGGGAACCAAGCAGGAATTTATAATTACAGATTCTGTAATGTGTGAGTGCACAAACATTGCAGGCAGACAGCTCAAGACCAGTGTCCTTGAGAAGGTTTCAGCTGATGCTGCTTGGAGAACAAGACTACATAGAACAAAATGTTATTTATAAGGTCTTAAATAATAGTTAAACCTGAGGCACTATCAGTGAAAGCTATAGGGACTGGAATCTCCTGTACTTTGCTGTAAAGATTTTCCATTAAAGCATGCAGATAGCTGGTGCCGTGGCCTAGAGGACATTGCTGAAATGTCTACATTGCAACCGGAATAAATTGGCCATCTTTTCAAATGAAAGGTTTCTAATATTGATGCGAAAGCCAGAGATATATACATTACTGCAAGCCCCTGAAATGCATTAGCATCTGAACAGCTTGCAGTGGAATGGCAGAGACTGGAGTCCTCTTGTTGATACCTTCCTTGGCTCGTGCTGATGCCTTGCACCCTGCGCTGCACCAGAAGAATAGGAATCTGCAGTAAGCTATTTTAAAACAATACTTCCAATCAGGGGAAGTGCTGCAGCCTGGCTTACTTTTCAAAAACGTTTTAAAATCTGCTTCAGAGAAGGAAATAGAAGAGCTGTACTTGGAAGAAAATTTCCATAAGAATCCGTGGTTGTCCTATTTTAGGTATTTTTTTGCTGCTTCAGTGAAGGAAGTTGGGCTCTATTTAGGAGAAATTACTATTACCTGTATTAAAAAGAGCCCTTCTACTGTGTTACATGTGCTTGATTTGCTTCAAGTCTGTTCCTTCAACTTTTGCTCAAAGGAACTGTCCTTTCTTATGCAAGCATACTTGCTGTCAGCGATATGACCATTTATACAAGTGTTATTTGGAGAAAATAAGGGATGGAGGAGTGAGCTCTTTAGTTGAATGGGTCTTTTTTATCGTAATGAGATGTACAGTGTCTGGGCATGCAGCCATCAGCCCTTAGGAGAATGCAGCCAACATTGAATGCTGTGGCGTGATATGAGCTGTACAAGTCCATCACGCTTATCCTCTCTTTGCACTGGTTTCCTATAGAGGGGCAAGCCAAGCTTAAAGTGTTCTCATTTGCACCACTACTTAGGCTAATACCTGTGTAAATGCCTTAGGAGAGGAGAAGGTTTGACATTTCCACTCCTTGAGGTTCCAGGCACTTTTTACTCTCAAAACCGAAGCCAAGCCAAGCCAAAAATGTGGAATAACCAACCACAGCAAACAGAAATCCTACCCTTTTTTTTTTTTTTTTCCATGTTAGAAGTTCTTCTAACTTCCTCACACAGATACCACAGCCCAGACAGGGAAAACTGAACCCTTGCTAAAATTCCCTGCTTTTACATTCTCCCCTTAAGAAGAGTGTGAAAGAGAGAGCCAACCACATATGACAGATGTTTGCCCTGTTGCTTAATACATGACTTGAAGCCAGACTAAACCAGGACTCTTCAAACTGCTCAAAATTCATTTTTGCCATCATTCTGGGAGCTAAATGGACTGAGAGAACTTAATTTGACAAACACTTAGCAACTTGTCATCAAGAAAAAAAACCTACATTTGAACAGTGAGAAACTTCAGTGGAAAACTTCACTTTTTGTGACAGCCCTGTACCCTTGGGAGAAGGATAGGAGTGTGTTGCAAGCCCATACAACCATTTAAGGTGTCTTGTTTTTACCTGAGTGCCTCGTGGAGTTGTTTGCTGTGTTCTCACATGTCCTTGAAATGCCAGCCCTCAGCTAAACACACGCAGGCCACCCACGGATGAGGCTGCTGTTTGCTTGGGTCGCTGCATGCCTGAGGGACCGATGCGGCTCCGCTTCTCCGAGTGACACGCGCACACCTAATGGGAAAAGACAGTCTCCCAACAAAGTTCGTAGGGAAGGACTTCCCGAAGCACTCGGCTAGCTCTTCCGCTGTTTCCTGCTGGGAGAGGTTTGCTTTTTGTCTCCCCTGGTATGGAAAGCAGCAGCTTTTGAGAAGACGATGTTGAAAGCATCTTAGTGACTTTGAAATTTAAATCCTGTTTGCAGATCTTGAAAGAGGCAGAATAGCAGCTGGGGTTAGTGCTTAAGTTTACCAAACAATGAGATTAGTTGTGAGGCATTTGGCTCTGGGGATGGCAGTAAATGTTCATCTTTTTTTTTTTTTTTTTTTTATTCGTTCTGAGACCCTATATTGGATTCCTGATATTTTAAGCACAATCTCTTCATGTAAGGATTATCCGTCTCGATACAGGATGGCACAGTTTTAGCAAAGGCCAGACCTGAAATAGCAAGGGCACGTATCAGATCAGGCTTGCAGTGTGTTACTAGTTGTGCTTTAAAAAAAAGTTGTGTAAGCGGAAGCCTTTCTGTTATGTCCTAAATCACAAGTGCCTCTACAGTACATCCCCAATCCCAGTCCAACCAGGATTTACTGCTCTCTGCACGGAAACTGCACCCTTGCAGGTCTCAGAGGTTTTTAAATCTCTCCTTCTCCATGCAAGTTGTCCTGGTGTCCACTTCATTTGTAAATTAAAGAGGATGAAGAGGCTTCTGCAAGTCCCTGAGGCTTCTCTTCCAAGGACTTGTGTCTCTAATGCTGCTGTTACTGAGGTTGAGAACAAGGTTGCTAAGGGGCCTGGGAACAGGAGATAAGGTCCAGGCACAACAACCTGTCCTACAGCCTCTAAAGAGGCTGCTGGGTATATTTAAACATTGACCTATACTTGTAGCAGTACCAGGCTGTGCCAGTGATTCATCTGTTTAGAGTGTCTCATTTCTCTGATGTGAGCAGAACAAAAGAAAACAAAGAGACCAAAACAGCAACAAGGTCCGGGGTGCCTTGTAAATAAATGTTGTATATTCATCCGGACGTACTTCACTACCCTCAGTGCTTTGACTCATCGCCTCGTTGCATCTTTTCATTTCAGACCTAAGTCTCGGGTTCATTTCTTGTGTGACTCCACTTGTAACTGAGTAATGGTGTTATAGCTGTGACTTGCTGTGCTGCAGCAAAGGGACAGGGATCTGAGCTTGTACATCCAAATTCTTCCCATGTCTCTTGAGGAGTAAATTAAATCCCTCTACTGTGGTGGCATTCAGCTATTTTAGCAACTGCAATGTCTTGTTTACCTTGGAGGTCTAGGATATGGAGATAGTCTCATTCGCCCCTTGCTTACAGAGGTGTAAATCAGATGTCTGTGCACTGAAGTTTTTTGAACCATTCAGGTTACAGGTAATAACTAAGTGTTTGTGGGGAGAAGCTGGTCAACCTGTCTGTGCATTCTGGCACCACCAGCAAGGGACTGAGGTGGAATGGTTCGATTGAGGTTAAATCTTCCCCTTGCAGACGGGCCTCTTCAGGACCCTTCTTAGTGCAAGGTCTTGCAGGAATCCAGAGTGTGAGAGATGAGTGTGGAGCTCCAGCACGGATAGTCTGTGCCCCATGTGTGCCCAGGAGGCCTGGCTGCAGACCCGTGTGTTTGTTTGCTGCACATGGTGCATGGTGCATGGCTTTGCAGGCGCTTTATTAACCAGCTGGTTAATAAAGGAGTGTGTACGTGGGTGAGCTGCATGGAGATAGCTGGGGGAGAGGATTTTTTTCTACCACGGTCCCCACTTGACTGTTGCACAAAGTCAGCTGGGAACTGGTTGGTTATTTCACTAAATAAGCAAGATTTTTTTTTTCTTTTCCATGGTTTCTTTTTTATATTTTGAAGAAAAAAAAACAGATTTGTCTTTACTGTCTATTTTTTCATGCATTTTTCTTAAGCATCCACTGTGAGTCAGTGCTGGGGAGAGGATCCTCAACGGGTCTCTTGTCTGACTCCATGAGAGCCCTATGTTGTTAATCACGGATGAGAACTTGGACCTCATGTTCCTTTGAGAAATTCACTCTTGAGCAAGCAGT